AGGATTGAGTCCCACATCAAGCTCCTTGCTCATCAGGGAGTCTGCTTCTCGTTCTGCCTGCCGCTCTCCCTGCTTGTGCTCTCTCTCTCTCTGACAAATAAAATCTTAAAAAAAAAAAAAAAGGCAAAGAGCAAGCTGCATGACATACTAAAGTACTTTCTACCATGTATGCTTGGCAGGCATTACTGCTGAATAACATACTGTTTTACAATCAAAAAAAAAAAAAAAAATCCAGAAGGTGACAACTAAAAATCTCCACGCACAAACTCAAACCTAAACTAGCTTTGGCCATAAACAAACTGACTTCGTGAACCCTCAGGAACAATGCTTCTTTCCCTTCTTTTAAGTGATAAAACAGTTACCATTCTGCATATGCAGATGACCACTACCAAATCTATAGCTTAGGAGAGGACCGGGCTGAAAGCTCAACCCCTCCAAACTGAATGCCCAACTCAAAAAAGGTGGGGCCTGGTGATGCAAGCAGTTCTGGGACTAAGAAGACAAATGGTGTTAAGTCTGGGAAATAAATTGAGGAAGAACTTGAGTTCTGAAGCACATTTCTGGAAAGAAAGAGGACACAAAAGAGAACATTTCTGTTGAATATCCGTATGTAAGGAATTTAAGGATGATGAGTCAAGACAAAGAATAAGGCAGATGCCATTTGTGATAGTTAATTTTATGTCAACTTGGAGGGTGTTTCTGGAGATTAACATTTAAATCAGTAAACTGAATAAAGCAGATTGCCGTCAACAATGTGGGTGAGCCTCATCCAACCAGTTAAAGGCCTGACTAGAACAAAAAGATGAGCCTCCCCAAACAAGGGGGAATTCAGAGGACTGCTTTCATTCTGGAACAGCACATCAGCTCTCCAGGTCACCAGCCTTCAAACTAAAACCACACCACAGGTTCTCCTGGGTCTCTGCATATCAAGCCCCCCAGCTCTACTGCAGGTACTGGACTTGCTAGCCTCCACAACTGCGTAAGCCAATTCCATACAATAAATCCTTTTATCTATTACATACCCTATTGGTTCTGTTACTCTGGAGAACTCTAATACACCATCAGAGGTTCTAAAACCTATGGGGTTTGGGGCGCCTGAGCGGCTCAATGGGTAAGCGTCCGACTTGTGATTTCAGTTCAGGTCATGATCTCAGGGTTGTGAGATCGGGCTCCTGCTGGGCATGGAGCCTACTTAAGATTCTCTCTCCCTCTCCTTCTGCCCCCCCCTTCCCTCCCTCCCTCTCTAAAAAATTAAGTAAGATAAAATAAAATAAAATAAAATAAAACCTATGGGGCTATCAGGGAGATCACATCCACTTATGGATATTAAGAAAAATTAATAGAAAATAATTTATTTTTTAATTCAAACACATCACATTTACTGAGCATCTATCGGGAGTCAGTTACTAAGATCAGTACTAGAAATAGAGCAATAAAAAATATGGACACAGTCCCTTTGTGGAGCTTATATTTTAATGTGGCAAACCCACAATAAATATACATTATGTCAGGTAGTGGTAAGAGCTACAAAGTAAAAGTAGGGTAAGGGTAAGTTCAGAGTGATGCAAGGAAGAAAAGCCTCGTCAAAGGTCTACGTTGCATAGGGGAGGCCTCTCTGAAGGGAAGGTGATATTTGAGAATATATTAGAATGAAGTAAGTGAGCTAAGCAAAGATGTGTGGGAAGACTTCAGGGCAAAAGAAACAGCAAATGAAAAGGCAATGAGATTAAAATAAAATTAAAATAAATAGAAAGACAAGGCAATGAGGTATGTGCTACAGATACCAAAACAGAATGAGGCAGACTAGAAAATGAAACAGGCAAAGAGCACATCATGAAGAGCCTGGTGGGTGTGGTCAAGAGTTTGTATTTTATCTTCAATGTGATGGGATGTCAATGAAGGGCATGATGCGATCTGTATGCTTTTATAAAAGACTTTATTAACTACTATATAAAGAACTGACTCTAAGAGGGCAATAGTAAAAGCAGGAAAACATTAAATAAGATGAAGTTCGATGGAGTGGAAAGAATTTTGACAAATAGAATGTTCTGGATAAAGTTGACAAAATCAAACAAGGAAAAGATTTGAGTACAAAGCTCAAAAGAGAAGCTAAAGAGTCATCTGCTTAGGGACTAAAGTTCTGAGAACTGATATAATCCCAAGTAATAGTATATAAAGAGATGGGACAACAATCCAATATCACTACACATCTATTAGAATTGCCAAAGTCCCTAACACTGACAACACCAAATGCTGATGAGGATGTGGAACAACAAGAACTCCCATTCATCACTGCTGGGAATGCAAAATGGTAGCCACTTTGAAAGACAGTTTGGCAGTTTCTTACAAAACTAAACATGTAATACAGCAATCATGCACCTTGGTATTTACCCAAAAGAGCTGGAAACTTATGTAAACACAAAACCCTGCACATGAATGTTTAGAACAGCTTTATTCATAATTGCTAAAACTTGGAAGCAACCAAGATATCCTTCAGGGGGTGAACGGATAAACTGTGGTACATCCAAACAATGGAATACTATTAAATGCTTTAAAAAAAAAAAAAAAAGAGCTATCAAGCCATGAAGAGACACAGAAGAAAGTTAAATGCACGTTACCAAGTGAAAGGCTACACACTGTAAGATTCCATCTATATGACTTTTGGAAAGGCAAAAAGTGAACACCAGTGTAAACTATGGGCTTTGGGTGACTATGATATGCCCATTTAAGTTTATCACTTGTAATAAATGTACCACTCTGATGGGGGATATTGGTAATGGGGGAAGCTATGCATGGGGACAGGAGATATATGGGACAACTCTGTACCTTCCCCTCAATTTTGCTGCAAAGCTAGAACTGCTCTAAAAAAAAAAAGTCTTAATTAAAATAAAAAGGGAGAGATGGGACGAGAGGACCTTGGGGATATATTTGGAGGTACAAGAAGCAGATTCAACAAAGGAGAAAGAAGAGAGATGAAGGGTAAAACGGGCCCCTAGATACTACGTAAGAAAAGCCAAAATGGCAAAAAGTGTTTCACAAAGCAACAATATCCAATGCTAAAGAATGAGGAGGAGAATAAACCAATGAATTTTTCAAGAACGCAATTTCGAGACCATAAGAAAATGTGGATGCAAGTTACAAAAGGGTTCATATTTTAGTATTAAGCTTTAATCTCTTTTCTTAAACTTCCTAATTGGGATCCCAGTAAGTACAAAGTATTTTAATAAAGACAAGGAAAAAGTAATTTTGGACATTATGGCAGACAAGGAGACACATCAGTGACAACCATGACATAACATGACGGCAGAACAAGAGTGTGCCATAAAATGAGGGCTCCCCAAAGACAAACCAACAGTTCTGCCCTGAAAGGCAGCTCTACTTCCTCCATTCTTCTAGTCCCACTTGGGTACTATATTAGGAGGGATTCTAAGATGGCCCCCACAATCTCCACCCCCTATTAAGCCCATGATTAGGGCTGCAAGGCAAAAGGGATTTTGCAGGTGTAATTCAGGTAACTCATCAGTTGACTTTCAGTTAATCAAAGGGAGGTTTTCCAGGTGGGCCCGGCCCAATCTTAAAGCCCTTTACACACTGGTCTACAGATCAGAAACAGGAAAGTTAAGAGAGACTTCTGAAGTCACAGAGACAAACTCCTGGTAGCCTGCAAGAAAGCAAACACCCATGTTACTGAAATGCCTCTGAGCAAGACGCTTCAAGCAGCCTCTAAGAGTTAGGTGAGAGCAGGCAAGAAAACAGGGACCTTAGTCCTTCAGCTGCAAGGGACTGAATTCTGCCACAGTGAACTCGGAAGAGGGCTCTGAGCTTCGGATGAGAAACATACCACCGTCAACACCTTGACTGCAACCTTGTGTGGCACCGAGCAAAGAATCCAGACCATTCATAACCAGAAAGTGTAAGATAATAAATGGGTGTTGTTTTAAGCTGCTAAATTTGCGACATTTCTTATGCATCAATAAAGAACTAATACAGATCCTACTTGCCTATAGAAGAGGCTGCTTCTATCCTGCCAACAAGTGAGGGGACAAGCAAACTTGAAGGAAAAAAGAATTGACTTTTATGATCTCTCACTCACTATGACTAGGGATTTTGTTCAATTACTACTTGAGTCACAGCACCTGTTTTACAATACATTTTTCCCACATATCAATATTCTGAAAATTGGCAATGGAAATAGTTTTATTTTTTTATTTCCAATTTTTTGCAATGGAAATAGTTTTATTTTTTTATTTCCAATTTTAGAAAATTACTTTGATAATCGTGCAGAAATAAAAGTCACTGGGTGTCTAGACTTCTTGGATGTCTGCCACAGTTGTCCCAGCACCTGGAGAGAGAGATCCCCAAGCTAATCTCAGAAACGAGCACAAGGTCATGACTCCTGTCCTTCCTCAGTCTTTACTCCATAAACTACAATCTCCCACTTTTGTTTAGAGTAAGAATAGCTCAGAGGCGCTCTCAGTTACAAAAAAAGGTCCCTCCCGAATAATTACAGCCTTGACCCCTAAAACGCGGACTCTAACAGTCCAAACACCTCCTTATTAAAGATGCAACAAGCCAAAGCTAGGCTTTTCCTGCTGGGAACTGTAGTTCTCCCCTCGACCTTCAACCACTGGCTGCGCGAAACCTATCACGAGCGCAACCGGCGACCCGAGCGGCAGCGGCCACGATTGGTCCCTGACCAGGACAGCGAAGGGCTGATTGGATGACACGTCCCCGAAGCCGTGCCGACCGTCCGGCGCCCGCCTCCCCGCCACCTTCTTTCCACACCCCATCTCACTTCAGCAATAACCCTTAAGTCATCCCTCTTGGGCAAACTCTCCAATTAACTGCTTCAAAGGTCGGCCCAGGATTCTCGCGATAAAGGCGGCCCTGAAACACGCCTCTCTCCCGGGGCCTAGACAGAGCGAAAGCCTCTCCCGTTTTCCGTTGGTCGCCCGGAGTCAGCCTCACCACGCGCTCTCTCCCGGCGCCCCCGCGCTCACCTGGGCGGCGGCGGTCACACCCGATAACTGACAGGCCCGCAGCATTTTGGCCGGGGGGACGACACCGCCGGTATACGCGGGAGCTGCCGCGGCGGTGCTAGTAGGGAAAAGCGTGCGTGAGCGCGTGCCTGCGTCCGGGCAGCTTCTCCGCGCCGGTCGTACCGGAAGGGCAACCAACGCCGCTGCGCACGCGCAGCCCCCTTTCTCGACCCCGCCCAGGCCGCTCCGAGGGGGTGGGCTCTCCCTCGGCGGAAAAGGCGATTTCTCCTTCCGGTCGCTCTCGGAGTTCCGGTCTGTAGCCCCAAGAAGGGGTTAGTAGGTGAACTGGGAGGGTGCGGGGGAGTGTGAAACTCGGGCTTTGATCAGCGCAGAAAGCAGATGTTATTCTTCGAAGAATTCAAGCAAGAGACCATCTCAACCGCCTATGTCAGTTGGATATTTCGTAGAAAGCAGTCAACTTGGCGAAAGTTACGTAAACAATGGTGTCTTGGTTTGCGTGTTTGTTTCATTTGACAGCCTTTCTTCAGGGCGTCATCCTGATTACGGGAGACTGGGTGAACGGACACTGGAGAGACCTTTGAGCGGAGTGTGTCGTACACGTATCTAATAAATGGCAGAGCAGAAATAGAAACCCAGATTCTTCAGGTTCCACCGCTTCCACTCCTTATAGATTAAACCACACTGATTTTCCCACCACGTTTTCATTTTACAAAGATAATTTTGGCTGCAGTCTGTGGGATGGGTTGGAAGTTAAGGAGGTCAGTGCAGAAGAACTGTTCAAAGTATTCCACTGAGTCTGTAACCAAGGTTTAGCGTGTTAAATATTGAACACAGTGTTCAATACTGTTAGTACTAATAATGATTTTATCACCATCACAACATCAAAGAAACTAACGTGTATATCTATTGTGTTTGCAAAGTATTTTCAGGTCTTAACTAGGTGATTTATTACAGTATGGTGTTACTAGAGTTACAGTTTTTTACAGTATGGTGGTATTACAGTATACTAATCCCACTTGTAAAATGGAGAAATGGATTTGAAAATTAACTAAAATCAAATACTTATGTTTGTATATGTTCAGTGCTTTTCAGTGTGCTTTAGTAATTACATTACCCTCTGTTTCATATCACCATCACCTAACAGCCTCCAGAGTAGTCTCCCATTTTTTAAAGTAACTTTAGCAATTAAATTGAAGTCTCCCCACCCCACCCCTGCCTACTGCTGTTATCCTGGGTGATGCCAGTGTAATGACGTTTCTAACATCTTGGCCATAAGCCTCTCAATACCAATAAGCAATTTCAGTCTGCTCCAACCATGTGTGGCCCAGCCACATCTTAGGCCTGAACATCATTACCAACTTCTCCAGCTTCCAGATGTCAAAACTCCAAAATTAATTTCTGTTGTTTCCTAATGTCCCGTTTAACCAAATCCTTAATCTTCATCCTCCACATACAATTTATGAATCTTTTTTGCTTTAAAATGGACTCCCCTAAAGTAACACACAAATTTAAATCAATCCTCTTCCAAAAATGTGCAGTGACTCCCACTGCCAATTCAAAGAGCATTTATGAAATGTCTCAGTACTTTTCCAGCATATGGGAATGTTTTTAAGGCTCAACTTGGCCACCTTAGGTGGGAGATTAAGAAAGCAATGATAGTAGTCAGAGTTCATCACCCACTTACATACCCTAAAACCCAGAAGAACTAAAGGATTTAACATTCTCGGTTCTCAGAGTGTGAACTGGGATCCCTGGGGGAGTCTGAGACCTTTTCAGAAGATCCATAGAATCAAAACTACCTTCATAATATTAAGATACTATTTGCTGTTTTCACTCATTATCTCATAATTTTACAGTAGTGTTTTTCCAGAAGCTAGGTGACAAGTGATATCATAACAGATTGAATGCATAAGCAAATTCAATCCAGCTGGATTAAGAATCCAGCTTTCAGGGGCGCCTGGGTGGCTCAGTTGGTTAAGCGACTGCCTTCGGCTCAGGTCATGATCCTGGAGTCCCGGGATCGAGTCCCGCATCAGGCTCCCTGCTCGGCAGGGAGCCTGCTTCTCCCTCCGACCCTCCCCCCTCTCGTGTGCGCTCTCTCTCTCATTCTCTCTGTCTCAAATAAATAAATAAAATCTTAAAAAAAAAAAAAAAAAAAAAAAAGAATCCAGCTTTCTATTAAACCAGACCTTAAAGAGATTTGCAAAAAAGGTTAATAAAATGACACTCTTCTCACTAATTTTTTTAATCTTGGAGTAGTTATTTTTCATGAGTATATTTTATAAAAATAATTGTTTTAAAATCAATTAGTACGGTAGGCAGAATAATTATTCCCAAACATATACACATTTTCCTAATCCCTGGAACCTATGAATGTTAACTTACATGATAAAGGAACTTTGCAGATGTGATTAAGACTCTTGAGATGGGGAGACTATCCTGGATTATCTGCATAGGCCCAATGTCATGACAAGGGTCCTTGTCAGACAAGGCTCAGAGTCAGAAAAGGATATGTGACAATGGAAGCAGAAGTCAGAGGGATGTGATTACTGGCTTTGAAGATGGATGGCAGCACAAGCCAAGGAACGCAGGCAGCCTCTAGAAGCTAGAAAAGGCAAGGAAACAGATTCTCCCCTAGAGCCTCCAGAAGGAACACAGCCCTGGATATTTTAGCCTTGTGAAACCCATTTTAGACTTATGACCTATAGAACTGTAAGATAATTTGTGTTGTGTTAAGCCACTAAGTTTGGGGTAATTTGTTACAGCAGGAATTGGAAATATGATTAAAAGCTCTTTGGAGTCCTCAGTTTTTAAGTATGTAAAGAGGTTCTAAGACCAAAAAAGGTTTGAGAACCACTGCTGTAAATAAATCCTGTATCTTTCTGTCCTGGCTCCCTCTCTTCTCATCTTAGTTCTTCATGTTCTTTTTTTTTTTTTTAAGATTTTATTTATTTGACAGAGAGAAACACACCAAGAGAGGGAACACAAGCAGGAGGAGTGGGAGAGGGAGAAGCAGGCCTCCTGCTGAGCAGGGAGCCTGATGTGGGGCTCTATCCCAGGACCCTGGGATCATGACCTGAGCTGAAGGCAGATGCTTAACGACTGAGCCACCCGGGCACCCCTTAGCTCTTCATGTTCTTACTGCCAAGAATGACCTTGCCCTTTTTAAAATCCTCCCCATTCTTTAAGATTCTTATTATATTCTACCGCCTCCTTCCTGATCATCTCAGTCAGAAAGCCTTTTCTCCTTAACTTTGAACTACTCCTATGAATTATTTATCTGCCTTGTATTTATGTTCTATGCTTGTTTCCTTATTAAATGTGAACTGCTCGAGACCAGTCTTGATCCTTACCCATTTCAAGCAGTGTATGGTGTCCCATTTCAACCAATATATGGTGTCATTTATTGTATATGCATGGAATATCTTAGCCAACAAGGATGGGTGAGAGATTTGTTGTTTTCTGTTTGAATAAACATTAGGAAAAATGTATGATCACTAATCATCAAGAATAAAGTAAGGAACATAGAATTGTTTAGGAAGGATTGAGATGCTATTCTACCAAATGACAGTCAGTGTTAATGATTAGAAAAAAATATGTGTGTGATAGCCTTAGGATATTTACATTCATTTAATTATGGCTGTCATTCTGTTTTTTAAAAAATTTAATAACATTGCTATTTCCCAGTCACTTAGCCTATCAGCTACCAGCTTTGGAAGGAAAATAAGTTATTTCCTCAAATTTAATAAAATGAGCAAAAAGAAATTGTGTTTCAAATTGTGTACTTTAAATAGATTTGTGAATCAAATGCTCATTAAAAATTTAAGAGCCTACTATATGCCAGACACTCTTCATAGGCACTTGTTTTGCAGCGGTGAAGAATAACCTGGCATATAGAAGACATTCAGTAAAGGTTGCCTTGACCGTTCCTTTATGCATTTTTTTTTTCTCCTTCTTCGACTCCACCCAAATTTCTTTTTCTTAATTCCCTTTTGCCCTGGAGCTTTTAGACCCAATGCGGCTGCCGTAGGGCGGGGTGGCAAGATGGCGGTCGCCGCCTTTGCTCGTGCCGTGAGAGCAGCATCAGGTCAGTGGAAGGCGAGGCGCTCGATTTATCCCCTCACAGAAGGCGGGACTGGTGCAGGATGGAGTAGGCGTTTAGCGTGGAGGTTAACGGGGAAAAAAGGGCCAGAGGATTGTCCCGAACTTTCTCCGGGACTGCCTGTGTTCGGCCGGTCGCACCGGAGATTCCCGACACTCTTGGACCCTGGCGGACCTGGGTGTCCCCCGGTGTCCGCTTCCTTACCGGCTCCCGGCCCTTCCGCCTTAGCTAGAAAACAGACCAGGACTGGGGCGGAGGGGGGCGAAGGAGAAGAGAAAAGTCCCTGCTAACCTTCTCATTTAGAGGCTAGAACTCGCCACTCATGACCTTTAGCCTTGAAAAAGTAATTTCTCTGAACCTCAGATTCTACAGCTCTAAAACGGGGATGACACCAGCTACCTGAGGACTAAATGAGCTCGTGCCTGTCAAGCGCCCTGCGTAGTGCCTGGCCCCCAGCAAGCTTGCGTGTGTGAGATTCACACGATGTGCAGGAATGTGGCGGGTTTTTTGCTTACTCCGTCCCCGGTACCGGGGCAGTCATAAGGATTTCTCGACTGAGAGAGATGACAGGAGTGAGGGCAATTAAATTAAGTTGCCTTCGCTCTAAGGACTTTTGCAAAAATATTATTTAAATAGGATAAAATTATTAGTAAATTACTTATACACAAAATAAATTAGGATAAAATTCTGTGGAGGAAGACTAGGAATAAAGAAAAAAGCTACAATGTAAATTTCCCAGCTGTTACAGAAGAGCATGTTTAGGGCGCCTGGGTGGCTCAGTTGGTTAAGCGACTGCCTTCGGCTCAGGTCATGGTCCCGGAGTCCTGGGATTGAGTCCCACACATCCCTGGGATTGAGTCCCCACATTGGGCTCCCGGCTCAGCGGGGAGCCTGCTTCTCCCTCTGACCCTCTCCCCTCTCATGCTGTTTTTCTCTCTCTCAAATAAATAAAATCTTTAAAAAAAAAAAAGAAGAAGAAGAAGAGCATGTTTATGTGGGGGTATTTTTTTTCTTTTTTTTTTAAATTTTTTTAAATTTATTTGCGAGAGAGAGAATGAGAGACAGAGAGCATGAGAGGGAGGAGGGTCAGAAGCAGACTCCCTGCTGAGCAGGGAGCCTGACGTGGGACTCGATCCCGGGACTCCAGGATCATGACCTGAGCCGAAGGCAGTCGCTTAACCAACTGAGCCACCCAGGCGCCCGTGGGGGTATTTTTTAATCGTGAAAATAACTTATAAAGAAAAATGTATGTAACATACATGAATGGCTTAACAAATAACTCTAAAGCAGACGCCCCTTTGTAACACCGAAGGCAGGACACAGAACACTGCTAGGAACCTCTTCTCTATCTCGCTGTGCTTCTCCTAATCAGAATTCTTTCTGCTAAATATAAACAGTAGCCTCATTTCATTGTTACCTTGTCTTTTTTTCTGTAATAGTTTTAACATTTATATAGGCATCTCTAAGTAATATATTGTTTAATTTTGCCTGTTTTTGTACTTTGGAATCACACGGTATGTACTCTCGTGCCTTTTACTTTGTGAAATTCGTTCATTTTGGGTGTAGCTGTAGTGCTTTCTTGTTTCTATGTAATAGTCTCTTATTCGACCACCCCACAATTCTCCATTTTGGGATTGGTGGGCATTTGATTGTTTTCAGTTTGGGGCGATTAGGTCCAAAGCTGATTTTCTTTGTGTCCTGGCACATGAGTGCAAGAGTTTCTCTATGATGTGCTTGTGTGTATACTTATAAAACTGGCCGTGAAATTGCTGAATCAGAATATGTATATATTCAGCATTGCCTGATACTGTGAAAGTGATGTGCTTTTTTAAAGTCACCCCACGGGCACCTGGGTGGCTCAGTCCGTTAAGCGTCAGACTCGAATTCAGCTCAGGTCATGGTCTCAGGGTCATGGGATTGAGCCCTGAGTGGGGCTCCACAACTCAGTGGGGAGTCTGCTTGAGATTCTTTCCTTCTCCCTAAGATAAATAAGTGTTTTAAAAAAAATAGGGGTGCCTGGGTGGCTCAGTCGTTAAGCGTCTGCCTTCAGCTCAGGTCATGATCCCAGGGCCCTGGGATTGAGCCCCACATCGGGCTCCCTGCTCAGCGGGAAGCCTGCTTCTCTCTCTCCCGCTCCCCCTGCTTGTGCCCTCTCTCTCTGTCAAATAAATAAATCTTTAAAAAAACAAAAATAAAAAAATAGGGGTGCATGGGTGGCTCAGTCGGTTAAGCAGCTGATTCTTGATTTTAGCTCAGGTCATGATCTCAGGGTCGTGGAATTGAGCCTCATACAGAATTTTTCAGAATACTTTTAGAGGGTATGGGATCAAAAAAGTTTGAAGACCACTACTTTAGACAGTCATACTCGCTTCTCTCCGCACTCCCCATTGTTTTGATTCCTGCCACATGGAGCTATTTGTAATTCCCCAAACCTACTATACCATTTTTTTCACTCTTCACCGGTACACTCCCTTTTCCCTCTGCCTCTTCTTATTCCTTCAAAACTCTGGTTTTGTGTCACTTTCTTTGTTAAAATATCTGTGTTCTCCTTATAAGAATGAGTTTAGAGAATGCCAGTATGTATTAAAATGCCCAAACAGGGCAGAAGACTGAAGGAACAGTTAATTACTGCCCTTGATTTGTGTGCTACCCTTTTGTCAACACATTCTGAGTTCGGTTTTTACAAGCTAAATCACGGGTTGGTCCAGCTGAGGGTATGGTGGATAAGGCCCCCCAAGTCATTTTCCCAGGAACTGCTATCAAGCAAGATTTACCTTTCCTTCATTTTTTCTAACCTCAGCGTATTTATCCTGGATTTTGTCTTTTTTTTTTTAATATTTATTTTTTTTATTCTTACGTTAATCCCCATACCTTACATCATTAGTTTTAGATGAAGTGTTCCATGATTCATTGTTTGTGCATAACACCCAGTGCTCCATGCAGAATGTGCCCTCCTCAATACCCACCACCAGGCTAACCCATCCTCCCACCCCCCTCCCCTCTAGAACCCTGTTTGTTTTTCAGAGTCCATCGTCTCTCATGGTTTGTCTACTGGATTTTGTCTTGTTAATTTTGATCCATTCTACCAAGATCACTTTGAGTCCAGATAGTCTTTGGACTTTGCTTTTATGCAGATTTGACAAACATGCTTTATGCAGCTTCAGGGCCTTCATAAAAATTGAGGAAAATATAATCAGTTAGGGAGCCAGGAAAAGACTGATCAGAACAGCAATCAACTAATTTGGGGATAGTTTCTAGTCAGCTTGGAATTTACGTAATTGTACTATTATCCTGCCCACATTTATTTCTTCAGAATATAAAGAAACCTTGTCACATGCCTTCCTAAAATCAGGCTACACTGTGTCTAGACATTCCCATGATTTCCCAGGCTAGTGACTACATCAAAAAATGAGTTGAAGTTCTTTTTAAGGAACAGTTCACTCCCAGTTGACAATGTAGATTTTTGTGTGTGTGCACTTCCTGTTTATTTATCCATTCTAACTTTTTTTTTTCCTACAAAGGAGTCTGTAATTTACCCATTTATATGTTCTAGACTCTTAGCTGCTCACTTCCTTCAGGGAAGGTTTCTCAGTATTTCTGAGAGTTTTTGTTTGTTTTGTTTTAACCAAGACACCAAGTTCTTTTTTTTTTTTTTTTTCAAGATTTTATTTATTTACAGACCGCGAGAGAGGGAACACAAGCAGGGAGAGTAGGAGAGGGAGAAGCAGGCTTCCCGCTGAGCAGGGAGCCTGATGCAGGGCTCGATCCCAGGACCCTGGGATCATGACCTGAGCCAGAGGCAGACGCTTAACGACTGAGCCACCCAGGTGCCCCCCCCCTTTTTTTAATAAAGATTTTATTTATCTATTTGACAAAGAGCACGAGCAGGGGAGCGGGAGAGGGAGAAGCAGGCTTCCTGCTGAGCAGGGAGTCCGCCCAGGGCTCCATCCCAGGACCCTGGGATCATGACCTGAGCCAAAGGCAGACACTCAACCAACTGAGCCACCCAGGCACCCCAAGACACCAAGTTCTGATGACCTTGTGAAAATTGGGACATTTTCTTGTTTACAGTCCTCTTCAATTCACTTAATCTTTCAAAGATTACCTTAGTTTGTACTCACGTCTGTAAATATTTACAGTTCTTTGAAATATAAGTTATTTATACCTGGAAACTTGAATGCCTTGCAGTAGAGAATTTCACTTCCAAGTTCCCAGAGGGGCTCTCAACAGTCTCCTGAATCTTGGATTTCAGCTCACTCATTAATGTTTATACTACCCTTTTTAGTTTGAAAATTGTTATTTTCAATGGAGAACAGAAAAGCAAAATACGGCTTTTAAGTATTCAATCTTTCTCCTGCCATCTTTTAACATTATAGCATTTTTGCCAAGCATTTCTCTGCTCTTTACTATCTGCTGTTAGCAGTCATTAAATGATTTCTCTGTGCCAAGTGCTCTTCCTAGCACTTTTCATGTTTTCTCTCATTCAATTCTTGTCACCTCCCCATGACTAACCTTATTTAAATTTGGGGAAACTGGGGCATAGAAGGGTTAAGTAACTTGCCCATGGTCACACAGCTAGTGAGTAGTAGAGCTAGAAGATGAACGCAGTCTAACTCAAACACCAACACTCCAGTCCCACACTACACTGCCCCTCATTTGTTACATGAAATCAGTGCAACGGAGAGTAAGGCAGTGGTTCTAAGCCCTGGCTGCACTGCAGTCTCATTTGTGGGACTTTTTTTTTTTAAAGCAACTATTGAGGTATAATTTACAGACCATAAAATTACCTGCTTTATGTGTACAATTTGATGGTTTTTAGTAAATTTAATGGGTCGTGCAGCCATCACCACAATCCAGTTTGGGGGCATTTCCATCATCCTGTGGCACTTTTTCAGTGTGCACATTCTTGAGTCCCACCCTAGACCCAGAATCTGAGTCGAGTCAGTGCCCTGTGAGTGACTCTGCTTTGTAGCCCTGGACTCTTACGTTGGCAATAATGTGAAGAATAGGTAAAGAGGACTGCATTGGGTCGATGCATCTAGACCCTCCCCACCTCCAACCCCACAAGGTGCCTTCTGAGCCGCGCCCAGGCATCTCCATATTGTCAGGCAAGCAGTGCTCAGCCTCTGGAAGGTCCAGTCCCCACCTCGGGCACGTATTTGTTTCAGCCCCCTTGCCTTTGTGAATGTTGTTCATCCTACCTGGACTCTCAACCTCCTCCTCCTGAGGCCTGTTCATTTCCTAGAGGAGAGCTCACGTACCTCTTTTGTTTTCTTTAGGACTCCTCTTGCCACTCTCTTGCCTCTCCAGGGAATGGCCAAGCTTTCTCGTCTCTGCCTTGCCATTGCACTACATGCTAGGGGGCCCTGGCTCATCAGAGGATAAGATCTGGACTTAATGTTACAATCATTTTTGTTCCCTACTGTTGAACACAGAACTAGGACACATCAGAGTGGATTGTGGTGATGGTTGCACAACTTTGTAAATTTATTGAAAAGCACTGAATTACACATACAGGTAATTTTGTGGTATGTAAGTTATACCTCGGTAAAGTTGGTAAAAAGCTCCACAGGTGAGTCTGATGCTCACCTTGTTTTGATACATTGATTTTAAATATCTGGATGCATATTTTAGAGTATCGTATTAAACAAGTATGCTTCTCTCTCTTTACAGGAGTCTTACAGCCCCTGAACATTTTGGTGTCTTCAGCCTATCGAAACTGTGTCAAGAATGCCTGTCTCAGCTCTGCAGTGTCCACCCGACATTTTAGTTCTCTTCAGACACCAATTGTTTCCTCTGCTCCCGGACTTAGCACATGTGTCAGAAACCTGACATGTGGGCATACTACAGCAATGCTCAACAGGTAGAGTATATTTCAGTAAACGGGATGCTTAGACAAAAATTGTAAAATATTCCTGCCTGCAAAGACATCTTAGAAGCAGATGGTACTCTTTGCCTACCTGCAGTTTATCATGTAGACTTTGCCTGCTAGAGTGGTAGAATATGATTGATATCCCTGTATGCCTACGTGCCAGCAGCAGGGACTACCAAACAGAGCACACTTCTGATGTTCTAGATGTGGTTTCCTGGATGGAAGCTGTCAGCCAAAGCGGAGGGTGAACAAGATGCTCAGCATGCAAGGCTGGTGTTCATTTAGTCAACATATATTTAGTTAAGGACTCCTGGGTGCCCAGTTCTTGGCAGAAGGGATACAAAGATAAACTGAAGTCCTCAAAGACTCGATAATCTAGCGGGCAGGTAAGAAATCAGGTGATTAAAATATAAGGGATAAATTCTCTCATAGGGATTGAGGGGGTAGTTGATGGAAGGCTTACAAGTTGGTGATAGTGGCTATTTTTTTTTTTTTTTAAGATTTTATTTATTTATTTGACAGAGAGAAACACAGCGAGAACAGGAACACAAGCAGGGGGAGTGGAAGAGGGAGAAGCAGGCTTCCTGCCAAGCAGGGAGCCCGATGTGGGACTCGATCGCAGGACCCTGGGATCATGACCTGAGCCAAAGGCAGACGCTTAATGACTGAGCCACCCAGGCGCCCAATAGTGGCTATTCTTATTTATGCTTAGTGTCATGGATCATTTAAAGTAACAATGTATATTAAAGTTGGCTCTAGGGGCGACTGAGTGGCTCAGTCGTTAAGCATCTGCCTTCGGCTCAAGTCATGATCTCAGCGTCCTGGGATCGAGCCCCGCATCAGGCTCCCTGCTCGGCGGGAAGCCTGCTTCTCCCTCTCCCACTCCCCCTGCTTTTGTTCCCTCTCTCACTGTGCCTCTCTCTCTCTGTCAAATAAATAAATAAAATCTTTAAAAAAAATAAAAATAAAGTTAGCTCTATTCCAGTAGAACTCCTTCACTCATTTCTATGTCCAAAATTTCTAAGTACAAAAATGGATTTTATCCTCTAATGAGTCTTATTGCTGAGTTAAAATTTTTTTAATATATTTTAGAGCGGCCCCCTTGCTTCCAAATGTCCTGAAGCTACCAGTCAGAACTGTAACGTACTTCAGTTCACGGAAAGGGAAAAGAAAGACTGTGAAAGCTGTTGTCTATAGGTTTCTTCGACTTCATTCTGGCCTGTGGCTGAGGAGGAAGGTGAGTCTTCACACTGTTACTTGATTGAAAAAGGAGTGGGAGCAAATGAAAATGAAGAATTCAGTGAGCCTGTTCATTGATGTATCTTCTTCCCGTTTACAGTAGCTTTTACAGTACTGTGCTTAAGTACCAGCTTGGCAGGCATCTCTTAAGGTAAATGAATTCATAAAACAAAGTATCAGTCACAATGGCAAAACTCCTCACTGTAGGATGAGTTCATCTCAGGTCTTCTACATGTCTGGCATATCTAGTGATCACCAGAAGCCCTGTGACACCGCCCATGTGTAATAGCCTGTGGGGAGGCCCTCTTTAAGTCTAGAGTGTTACGGCAGCAGTCGCCTTCAGCAGGGACTTCGTGGCATGGCTCAGATCAGGGGCTGAAGGGCTCTTCCGCCTGCTTTGGATTGGATTCTTTAGGTGGCTTAGTCTTTATGACAGAATATTAACCCCACATATACTTTTTTAACTCTATGTCTTTCTCTGTAAGTGTGTACGATTGGGGTCCGTATCAGACGGAACCTTAGCACTTACTCTGGCCTGGGACCACAGCCTCTGAGAGGGCCTCTGACAAATTATTACTGCTCTGTCCTCTCCCACAGCACGTCATTCAGCATGTGTGTGGGCTTTTTCACTCACGTCTTTATTCTTGGAAACAGAGTAGCTGATAATTAGAAAGCAGCTGAAGACTAGAGTTTTGCAAAACCACCTTTGAGTTTTGATAACTATTCAAATTCTAATTCCCTTCTACTATTTGGAAGTTAAACGATTCTTTAAAGATCAAAATTTGTTTCTCCATAAAAATAAAATACTTAATTGGTAAGACTTTCACTAGTTGAAAGGTTGAAAGGATTATTTCCTATCTTATAAACAATCCTAAATTTAAGGTAAAAAGGTTGACTGGAACTCTCAGCTCATTCCTCCTTCGGAACAATACTGTGGTAGTTCATTTGCTACACTAGTAAATAGAAGCTCATGTAATCCATAAGTAGCTGAACTGAGTTATTCAGTTAATAGTTCTGAATTTTGTGAATTTTGGACCATTGGAAAATTTCTTCCCTGTTGTCATACTGATTATTTCCAGGTCGTCATCTGGCCCTAGATAAAATAAGCTGGGTGGGGTTTTTTGCCTTCCTTTCTACATCCCTTTTATTGGGCCCTGAAACCTGCATGTTATAAAGGATCTGATCAAATTCTCCAATCATGCCTAGGCCCCACTCAGGACCCCCCAAAATATTCTATATATGGAATGTCCTGCTTCATCAAAATGTAATATTAAGAGGGAAAACAAAAAAGCTGGGTGGGTTAATTTATATTAATGTATAAGAACTGAAAATACTTTCTGCAGCACAGTTTTATTCCCTCCCATTTCTGAACCTAGAGAGTGTCTAAAAAGCTTCAAGCATTTTCACAGTGGTTGCTTTCCAATAGAATAATGTTCAGAGGATACTAGTGGTAATAGGCAAGACAGCAAATTAGCTGTAAGTCAGAGATCCACAAGAACCCAGGTTGGCTTGCAAACTACAAAATTATTACACAGATATGGGGATTTGGGTTTGAATCTTTCAATTTAAATTTTAAGCAAGGAGTAGAAAAAAATCTAATTCCTGGCATTTTAAAACCATAACTCTTAAATAACGTTTCCTTATTTCTGAGTATAACTGTACTGTAGAAGTTGCTGGTCAGAGTGATGACACCAAGACATGTCAGAAACCCAAGGTGCCTTCTCAGCCCAGGGCTGTGGTTTTGTTCAGTTAGTGTAGTGCCCTAGGACACAGGGCTCTTAGCAATAGCTTGAGTTCTAGTCTCTTCTCCCCTGTAACTTTGTGTGTGGTTTTTGCCACGTATTAACCTAGATGGCACCTAAGGTCTCTTGTAGGCTAAACAGACTATGATTGTAGATTTTATATTCAATCTAATTTTTCTTCGGAAATTAATTCTTTTTTTCTTTCTAATTCAAAAATTAATTCTTCAAAATAAATAATGCTTGGATGGTGTATATGGCAGTTCTGGGTTAAACATACGAGTTCACCATTCCTTCATCACTCCCAATAGTGGTTTTATTGTATTTGTTATTCCTTAGAAAAGTACTTACTGCAGAAATTAGTCCTTAGTGTGAAAGGAAGAAATGAAGTAATATACTCGAGAACTGGGTTTTGTCAGCCTTTGTAATACTTAGTCCCCTTAAATGAACATAAATGTCATCAACTAGCCAGGAATGCCCTTCATCATCCTCCACATTGGGAAAAATAGTGGAGTAGTGGTTAAGAACTCTTACTAGTTCTGTGACCTCGGTCTGCTGCCGTTAACTTTCTAATCAATGGTTGTTTCTCTTTAATCTGTAAAATGAGGTTAATAGTATGTTGTTGAAGATTGTTGAAGAGATAATAAGGTAATGCATATAAAGTTGGTGATTATAATTATATATCATTACTCTGTACTTTGCCTGCCACAAAGAGTCATTTAGCTTTATTTTCTGTGGTTTTAATTTAAATTATCTTTTATCCAAGTATTAAATTATTAATATGTCTTTTTCAAACTGCACATGCTTTCTGTACCTACCCCTCACTGAGAATCACATCTTTCTGAAAAACATACCAGCCCCAGTCAGTCTCATCTTTGTTCCCATTGAGCCTATAAACCATGAATGGTGAAGATATCTGTTGTTTCCTATATAACATCATGTTTTGAATGTCTTTATAATATCATCTAACAGGCTGGTTATAAGAAAAAATTGTGGAAAAAGACGGCTGCAAGAAAAAGGCGCTTGAGGGAATTTGTGTTCTGCAATAAAACCCAGAGTAAGCTCTTAGATAAAATGACAACGTCTTTCTGGAAGAGGCGAAACTGGTATGCTGACGATCCTTATCAGAAGTACCATGATCGGACAAACCTGAAAGTATAGATCAGAAATTTTATGACTTCTAGCTATTGAAGATGTATCTTCGTGTATATGATGTCATTGCAAAATGGAATAAGTACAAAACTTGATGTAAATTGTGCCAGTTGGTCTGGAAACACACAGTTCCAACATTAAACTTATTAAAGTTTTAACACAATGGATTAAACATTTTCAAATTTGTTCAGGGAAATAGGAGTTTAAAATTGTTGATTATTTTTAATAAATGGTAATGTCTTAACTAGTTCCAGTGAGGCTTATTTAGTTGCAAGGAATGTCAAGTTAGGGCAGGCATAAGAAGACTGAGCTCCAGCAGTGTGACATTATTTTAAGTATGTATGCCTGGGAACTCAGGAACCATCTCACCACCACCCCCCCACACCCCCACATCTAACCCCTGGGCCTCAGGAAGAACAGAAATTATACTGCGTTCCTGAGTCCAAGGCACATCCGAGGGCCTCAGCAGCAGAAGATGCTAGATTTTTTGGTTTGGGGTCTGCCATGTATGTGACTCAGTTTCTCTGAGTCGCACCTCTCAGGTTGTTTTCTGCATCCTAACCCTCAGCCCTTCTCCAGGCTCTAAGTGCCAGGAGACCAACTGGGCCAGCTTGTCTCTTTTACTAAAGACCAGGTCTCATCAGGAGTTACTGACCCGTGTCGGGAGCCCACCCTGGCTCACTTGGTTGTGTTAATAAGCAGGTTCACATGGAGCAAAAAATAGTTATGTGAGCAGTTTCACTTAGAGGGGAGCATGGGGTGGCAACACCCGTCTAATATTCTAGGTTTATTGTGTTCATAAGAGTTCTTAGTGTATTGGAACAGGATTTTTATAGAGAGACAAGTAAATGAAATAGCCTTTCAGTATGCCCATTCATGAAACAGAAGAGGCTTTAGAGGTGCAGACACTTTTTATCCAAGAGTTGAAAGGCACTGTATTTTCTTTTTCTTTTTTTTTTTTTTAAGATTTTATTTATTTGAGAGAGAGCATGCAAGCAGGGGGGAGGAGTAGAGGAAGAGGGACAAGCAGACTCCATACTGAGCACAGAACCTGATGTGAGGCTCGATCTCGACCCTGAGATCATGACCTGAGCCTAAATCAAGAGTTGGATGCTTAACCAACTGTACCACTCAGGCGCCCCAAGGCCCTGTATTTCCTAAAAGTTAGTTTACTCACCTGAGATTTCATATTTTTAATTGGAGGATAAACATTTTCCAAAGACACACTGTAGAAACTAAAGGAAAACAATCATTTTGGAAATGATGCAAGAGCTAAGCATTGTTCACTTGAAGAGCATTGGATGAGAGGCACTGAGGAAAATTCTGTTCACTGTGTGGTTAAAGTCTAGGGCAGTGGTTCTCAGCTATCCCATCAAGTCGTCTGGGAAGCATTTTCAAACAACAGAGCACTTTGGTTGAAAAACCATTACAGATCTTAACCAACTTACGATGGGGTTACAGCCCAATAAACCTAAGTTGAAAATGCATTTAATACACCTAAGCTACTGAACATCATGGCTTAGCCTAACCTACGTTAAATGTGCTCAGAACACTTACTTTGGCCTACAGTTGGGCAAAATCATCTAACACAAAGCCTATTTTATAATAAAGTGTTGACTATCTCATGTTTACTGAGTACTATACCGAAAGTGAAAAACAGGGTGTATCTGTGCGGAACAGTTGTAAGTCTGTCAGTTGTTTACCCTTGTGATTACGTGGCTGACTGGGAGTCTCAGCTTGTTGCCACCACCCAGCAGCACAAGAGAGTGCCCTACCGTGTATCACTAGCCCAGGAAAAGATCAAAATATAATTTAAAGTACGGTTTCTACCAAATGTATGTCACTTTCACACCACTGTAAAGTCGAAGAACCTAAGTCAAATCATCATAAGTCAGGGACCGTCTGTATTAAATAGAATTATGCCTCAATTACTACTTCAAATTCTTTAATATAGTAGCCAATGATGATAAGATGAAGTTTCTCTATTGTTAATAGAATAAAGTTAAAGATAACCAAATTGAAATTCTGTGGTAAGTCAGGCTAGGATTATTAGAGGAATTTCTTGAAACCGGTGCATGTTCCTTAAAAGGAAAAGGGGTGACTGTAGAGGGTTCTAAAACTAGAAGGCCACTTGTATGTCTGTTTATGCGACCAATTAATAAAGAACAGACATTGGATTTGAGATGAGGTAAGACTGAAGCATGCAGTGGCATCCTGTTTTGATTGATTTTCATTTCCTCATTAACTTCTGAGGTGGCAAAAGCCAACCACTCTCAGAGTTTCCACATCATTTTTTAAAAAAATATTTATTTATTTATTTAGTTGAGAGAGCGCATGCACAAGTGGGATGTGCAGAGGGAGAGGGACAAACAGATTGTGCTGATGCAGAGCCCGACTCAGGGCTGGATCTCACAACCCTGAGATCATGACCTGAGCCAAAACCAAGAGTCGGACGCTTAACCGACTGCGCCACCCAGGCGCCCTCACGTCATTTCTTAGCGGCCTGGTTCCTGCCTCTGCCACTCACCTCTGGTAGCAGGATGGAACTGGTACCTGAAGAAGTTGAGGACGAGGCCACTTTCCTACTGTCTCCAAACTCTGGACAACAAAGATCTCTGTTATAGGGGCCTCAGCACCTTGGTTTTTCCTGTAGGCCAGAGGTAGGAGAGGTAGAGACAAGGACTGGCAACCAGGCCTCAGCATCCAGACGTGGACTGAAATGGAAGGGCACATGATTTCGGAGAAAGGGAATTTTCATATATATAATTTTTGTTTTATGGGTAGCAGGGCTTATCATCACTGATTTTATAGTTTGAAAACCAAACATTAAGGAGTCTACCTAAATGACATTGTAATTTATGTAAAAGTATGATTTACTGAACACCAACTATGTGCCAGCATAGGGATGGGCATATATATACATAACTGCTAATCCTCATACCAGCCTTGCAGGGGAGATACTATTTTCTCTTTGAGTTTATTTATTTTTTTTTAGGAACCTCTACATCCAACATGGGGTTCAAACCTATGACCCTGAGATCAAGAGTCTCATACTCTTTTGATTGAGCCAGCCAGGAACCCAGGGGGGATATTCTTTATCCCTCGTTTAGATTTGAAGAAACTGCAGCTTATACGAGGTGAAATAAATTACCCACAATATAGCTAATAATAAGTCACAGAACTTAGGTCTGAAGTCTTGGAATCCTGTGCATTTCCTGGAGTCTTTTTTTTTTTAAAGATTTTATTTATTTATTTGAGAGAGAGAGAAACAACATGAGAGGGGAGAGGGCCAGAGGGAGAAGCAGGCTCCCCGCTGAGCCGGGAGCTCGATGCGGGACTCGATCCCAGGACTCCGGGATCATGACCTGAGCCGAAAGCAGTCGCCCAACCAACTGAGCTACCCAGGCACCCTTTCGTGGATTCTTTTAACATGAAAACTCATATATTTAAATCAACAAATGACTATACTCTAGCACTATACATACTAAACACTTTTTTCATGACACTGTACCAAGTCAGCCTTTAAATCATAACTTTGCTTTTCTGTTGTCAGCTCTTAACCTGATTAATCTCAGTTCTGTTGCCATTGGACTTGGCTCAGTAAATGAATAAATGAATGGATTTTCAGCCTTTCCATCTCTTCATCTTCCTTTCAGCCTTCTGAATGTGCTTCTTTACCTGCTGCTGCTTTATTTTATAGCCCTCATGTCAAACATACAGAATAGGAGACTATAAAGGCAAAGAAAATGAGTGTTTCATTTTAAGTGTCCAAGTCTTTGTGACCACCCAATGAGGCTTAAGTGTGCCTGTTCATATACATATATATGTTTTTTTAAAGATTTTATTTATTTATTTGACAGAGAGAGACACAGCAAGAGAGGGAACACAAGCAGGGGGAGTGGGAGAGGGAGAAGCAGGCCTCCTGTGGAGCAGGGAGCCCGATGTGGGGCTCGATCCCAGGACCCTGAGATCATGACCTGAGCCAAAGGCAGACGCTTAACGACTGAGCCACCCAGGCGCCCCATATACATATATTTTTAAGTAAATTGTGCACCCAGCGCGGGGCTCAAACTCAGAACCCTGAGATCAAGAGTCGCGTGCTCTCCCGACTGAGCCAGCCAGGCACTCAGCCTGTTCATATATATATATTTTTTTTTAGATTTTTTATTTATTTGACAGAGGGAGAGACAGGAAGAGCAGGAACACAAGCAGGGGGAGTGGGAGAGGGAGAAGCAGGCTTCCCGCCGAGCAGGGAGCCCAATGCGGGGCTCGATCCCAGGACCCTGGGACCATGACCTGAGCTGAAGGCAGACGCTTAATGTCTGAGCCACCCAGGCGCCCCAGCCTGTTCATATTTTAAAGGCAAGGGCCGCAGTGGTGTAATGGGTGTCCACAGCACCCTGTGCGCCTCTGCACGTACCACCCTCTTAACCTGCACACATACTCCCTCCCTTGCAGGTGAGGGAACAGATACCAGGAAGGGAAATGACAGACCAAATTTTCTGTATGCAGAATTAAAACTGCCCACCTGATGAACTCTATTTTTACAGCTACACAGTTTCCACTGGTGACTTTTAAAATGTAAAACATACTACCAGGTTTATATTTATGTGATCAACTGGTTTGCAAAACACTCATTTGATCCACTCCCCCCCCCCCCCCCCTGCCCCGCAACAATTCTAGATCCTAGTCATGGGGCCACAGCACCAGGCCAGTTAGTGACTGACCACTCAGCTTCTCATCCTTGCTACCTTCCATGTTTTGTCTTTTTTTTTAAGTGTTTTCCCTTTCCTCATAAGCTCAACATTACAAAGATGTTTTTTAAAAGAAAAATGTTAAGACTTTATTCAAGATATATATCAGGCATTATAACAAAACAGCAGAACTTCAACCTTTGGAATACTGTAATTTTACACCCCTTTGATGCACAGTCCAGTATACTATTTTATTACAGATCATTCTATAGGGACTACAGGAATAAACTAGGGAAACTGCACAGTCAGCATCTGGAAGGTCAGCTCTCGTAGTGTGTGCTGTTGGAGAAGGAAGCACGTCCTTTTGCCATGTCAAATACTGTGCACGGTGAGGACTAGGGAGATACTCAGCTGTGATCATGGTAGACGAGCACTGTTACCACAAACACACAGACAGTTTACTGTGGAGAACATACAT